AGCCAGCTGGACCTGCTTCTGCTGGACTGCTGCAGAGAGAAGAGCTGGTCCCTGAAATCCCAGCACTCACCTCTCCACCCCTAGGTGAGTTTTGAGGAGCCTGGACCGGCTGACACTGATGTGCCGATGCAGACTCACTCCCCAGGAGCTGCTGGTCTGAGCTCCCCTGCCCATATGAGATGCCTGGGCAAAAGGTGAGCCCAGGCAAGTTCCAAACCTCAGCAGACTGTAGGCAATAAAGCCAGCAGCCTCCATCGTGCTCACTGTTGTGCAACCAGGATGGAGCACGGAGAAATAAAATGCATTCCCTAGGGAGACGCCAGAGCAAGCACAAGCTGGGGGACAGCCACACCCAAACCAAGGTGGCAGCCTTTCAAATGACAATGCTGCTCCCAGACATCCCAACAGACAGGTCCTGCCTGAAGCACAACCACTGTCCTGCCCTCTGACAGCCACCTTTCTACCCAGAGTGAGAACAAACCCTCCAAACCTCTAGTGGCCCCAACCTCGATGGGCACACAGCAATTTGAGCCTGAGTTGCACATCAAGACATTCACCAGTACCAGAAAAAACAACCACTGCTCATTTACTGACTCTCAGCTCCCAGCAACAGAAACCATCCAGGTCCATGATACGGACACAGCCTCCTCCAGCCTCACCTCAACTCCAGCCACATCAGCACAACCACACTGGGGGGGGTCAGCCCCACAGCAGCCACCCCTAAACCCCAATGTGGGGTGTGCCAATGCTGGCCCGTGCATCAATGCAGAGCACGGTGGTGATGGTGTCTGAGAGCCCAGGCTCAGCTCCCAGACCTTCCTGCAAGCATGACAGTAACACCTGCCAGGCCAAACTGCTGCCCTGTGTCAGTCAGCCACCATCTCTTGCACCAGGGCTGCACCCACGGGGCTGCTGCGCGGTCTCTGCACCGTGTTCAGTGACACAGCCAAACCCACCGGGGTCAGCACGGTCACGGGGCTTCACACACAGCTTGCAAGCCACTTTCACATGCAATTCTCCATTGAAATCAACATCATGACTGGATGACATTTCAACACAAGGAGGTTTTTCTCAAAAAGCTGTCTAAGTCTCTCCAAGTCATGCACTTGCTGTCCCAGCGGCACACACTGGATCAGCTCCCACAACAGCCACCTCCCTCCAAGGTCTCCCCAGGCAAGAGGGGCACATCCTTCCACGCTGCAGATGTAAATCCACACCTCTCACCTCTCCAGTCTCAAACAGAAAGAATGAAGCTGGTTTTTCTTGCTTCCTGCATATTTCAAGATAGTATTTCAAGAAAAAATGCTTCAATGCCACAGCCAGGGAGACTCAGCAAAAGCTCCCACTGCCAGTGTTGCAGCCAATCCTCTTTGCACTTCAGTCTGCTATGTGGCCCAAGACTCAAAAAGGGCTAAGCTAATGTCAGGATGGACAACTGATCATCAACAAAGGCAAGGAATTGTCTGAGTTAAGACTGAGTTCCTGCTGGGGAGATCCAGCAGATTCCCATTCAAACTAAAAACCCTCCCAGCTGATGGCTGATCCAGAAAGGAGCAGAGGTTCACCACGTGTCATGAACTCAAGCCTCAAGAGGAGGTGTGGAAATGGCCAGGGTCACCAAGTTCAACAGCAAAGTAGGCCCTGCTCAGGATCTGACAGCTATGTTACATGTGTTTGGATATTTCACTCTCCCATGAGCTCTAGCTTGGCATGATAAACCTAACACCCACTGGTTGGTAAAACTTGTCTTAGTTAAACCCAAACTGTATCAGGTCTTGTGCTCTTAGGCTGCTCCAAGGTACCTCACACAGGGACAGTAGAATTTCCCTACCAAACCACACACCCAATTCGAGCTGCAGAGGTACTGCCACAGCCCAGGTGATGTCTGCTCACCCAAAACAAGACAACACCCAAAATCTACGGCCAGCCTGAGCAGGCTCCACCTTGGCTGGCCACGGTGCCTTCCCGAGCAGAGAGCTCAGGACCAGATCCTATCTCTGGGGGAAGGAGCGCCAGCAGTATCGATCTGCAGGGGGACAGTGAAGCATTGTTTGGGGATATCCAGCCATTCACTCTGTCTTGTTTTAATCAGTCAACATTCAAAAGACAGATAGTGGGGCCAAAAGTCCTCTATCTTTATCTTTTTTCACTTAATCTCCAGCTGACATTTTTTTCCGTGAAAACACGCCTCGCTTCTTGCTGTATGACTTCAACTCTCCCTCTCCTGTGATATTTTGCCTCAAACAGGCTACACAACCGGTTACTACTTTTATAGAGGTGGGAGTGACATGCTTTGATTCTTCCAAAACACAAAATGCTCATCTGGCTTCAGCCACCAAACTGCAACGATGGGGACCAGCAGAGCCACCCCAGCTGGGGAGTTCAGAGTCCTCTGCTCCATGATCCCTTGGGACCACTGCCTGACACCCCTCAGCTGCTTGTGGCAAAGAGCCACTGTCATCAGGCTCTCATGGGCTTCTTTCAGTGCCATACCTGTGCTGATGCTGAAGCACCTGCATGGCAGCCCAGGTGCACCTTGGCCATCCATCTCTGCCACATCCTCTCTCCCACCTTGCTCCAAAAGCCTTTTCCCACCCTCCAGACACACAACACCTTTGCTGTGGCTGCTGGGAGCTCCTCCCCTGGACAAACTCCCTCACCCAGCCTGAGGCTGCAGGCTCAGGAAATGCCTCTGTTAGTGACAGCACCACGCCTGCCCCAACACCGACCTGCTCATCCTTTCCCTTCCAATGGACTCCTGCAGCAGCAACTTCTATGCAAACCAAATTGCAGTGAAATCACCAGAATGCCATTGGAGAATTAACACTGTGAACCCCCTGCAAATGATTTGGCCTTTACTTCTCTCTGCTATCTGCAGCTGTTCTGCACTAACAACAAGCAACACACAGCCCAGAAAAGCCTCGTGGCCCACTTGGAACTCACAAGAAGTGGGATGGTTGCAGCCCCTGATGTGAGCTGCCTTTCTCCCAGACTGCAGTGCTGCTAACACACAGCCCGTCAGGAACTGAAATGCTTTGGAAAGACAACAAGCAAAGGAGGATAGACAGGCTAAGAGAAACTCCCAGAGCAGACCCAGGAGCATCTGGCACGAACGGGAGCCTCTGCTGGGAGCAGAGCAGAGCAGAGCAGAGCAGGCAGCCCGGCTCCAGCTGCGGAGCTTCCGGAGAGGAGCATCCTTCCTGTGCCATCACCCCCAGCCATCCCAACACAACACACACCTCTTCTGAGAAGAAAAAAAAAACTACCATGAACTTTAGGCCCAAAGATTAGGCTCTGGGAAATACGAGCTTTTAGAAAAGGTTATAATTTTGGAAGTCCATTTAAATTAACCTTAACTAGCTTTAAACTCTATATACGTATCTCCTTGCCACGCTCACAACCCACGCACATTTTGCAGTGCCAGTGAGCTAAATCATGTGCAAGCGAGCAGAGTAAAAGGAACCACAAAAAAAAAAAAAGCTCTGGGCAGAAACTCTCTTTCATTGTTGCAAGCGGCAAAGGAGATGGCAACAGCAGAAGGAATCAGGAATAAAAATGGAACTCGCTTGTTTACCTTGTCGGTTTTGTCAAAACATTGTGACAACGCTTTGCGTGCAGCCAGTTTCTCTGTTCTGCCACCAAAAATTCAGAGCCCTTCACCTTTCTTCACGCATTACAGGAGAAAGCCAAGAAGAGTAAAACTTTTAGGGAGAGAAATGAGTGTGCAAAAGATATAAAAAAGCCCAGCATGAGATTTTCAAACTACTGGGCTCCTCTTCCAGATAGTCCAAACACCACCAGGAACAGTGACCCTCCAGCTGCACAAGCTGAGTTAACGAGGAGCAGGCAGCCAACGAAGGAGGGTAGTAAGACAATAAAGGGAAAGTTTGGGTAAGCCTGACAAAAAGCAAGAGAAAAAAAAGAAAAAAGAAGTATTAAAAAAAAAGCCAGGAAAAAAAAAAGCTGCAAACAGGGTTTCTAAAAAAGATAAATTCTTGACAGTGTCTTTTTAAAAGAGAAACTCACAGTGCTTCAGGCAGAGCCCTACCTCTCCAAAAGCCACGCAATCCAGTAGGAAGCAGCAGGTTTTTGAAGGAGCAAATTGCACAGCTGCGGAAGGATTTGCCTTTACTGCCTTCTTTCCAACTCACCTAAGAGAGACTCAATGTCTACCTGGAGGACTAGCAAAACCGAGGAAATTGGTTGGTTCTAGTTAGACTTTTGAGATTTTTTATGCTTGAAGAGAGCCCCTAAAATGTAAACCTGTTTTAGCATTCTTGTACATTAATGTCGTTGTTCTCCCTGCTGACTCCCACAACTTCTGCCACAGACAAGTCAATCAGATTTGGTATATGCCCTGGGACAGGGAAGGGGAGGGCTGGGTTTAAAGCAAACAAGCAACCAAAAAATAATTATGTCAGTGCTCTGCAAGGTGTTGGATCCAAGCTCGGTGGATCTGCTGAAGTCTTCGATCCAAAACACTTGGCAATTTTACTTAAAAAAAAGGAAACAAAAAAAACCTTAGACCTGTTGAACTTAGAGAAAAGCAAGTGGCAGACCTTGGAGGAAGGGCGACAGCGTGTGAGGGTGCAAAAACATCATGTGCTGTAGTTCACCACTTTAGGAGAAATCAGAGTTTTGCTTTGGTTGGTTTTGCTTTTTCTGAAGTGCTGGGGAAAGGCGCTTCCCAAAGGGCGACTTTGGAGTTTACGGGCGCCAAGGTGGAAGCGTGAAGTGAGGACATGCCAAAAACGTCAGGTTTGCATAAACCCTTCTGGAAAAAGTGCACCGTGGTTTTAGGAAAAATGCATATCTACCAAATCTCCACTGACCAGGGGCCACTTGTGCACGCAAAGTTGCATCAATTGGCAGCATCAATGCTGACATTTTTGCCTTCTCCTTCCACCCCCCTCCCCAATTTTTTCTTTTTTTCCTTGGGAGACATAGAGCGCCACTGCATTAGAACGTACAAGAAATGAAAACAGTGAGTACGACTGATATAGATCCATTGACTTTTTATTACAAATGTACTTGATCACTTGGCTTCAAAAAAGTTTAAATCAACCCCTATTTTCTGTACGCCAGTACAAAGTAAAATCTATTTTACAAATTAAATACCTAAAAATTTGACAAAAATATTAAAGTTTGATGGAAAAAACAGTTATAAAAATCTTAAATCCCCTTTTAAGAAGATAAGAGATAACATTCCCTCCCAACCCCCACAGTCCTGTTATACAATATTAATAGTCATTTTTTTAGAATAGGTAGGTATGTTATATCTTGCTGTTAGCATACAAGTCACTCTAATAGCTTTATCTGTATATACTCCAGTTAGTGCATGAATGTCATCTGATTGAATATAATCAACTATCTTTAACTGATCCCTAATTTACATTTCATAGCTTGCATAGTTTGAAGGGACAAAGGTTACACTACAGCTAATCATAAAAAAAGGTGGTTACAGTGCTATTTTTAAAGGCAACAAAGTAATTGCTCCCAAAAAAAAAAAAACAACCCAAACCCAAAACTAAACGAAAAAAAAGAAGTTACCGGTCGGCTCTGAGCAGGGGTTAAATCCCCGGCAGCAGCTCTGCCTGGCTCACGGGGTGGGCTCTGCGCCCGCCCGCTGCCCCCTCTGTGCTTCCCCCAGTCCCGGGACAGGTCGGGAGCCGCTCTCCCGGCAGCGCTGCGCCCAGCGCATTTCAACCCCTGCGAGGGATACGCACAAAGTGACACTGTCAAGTATTTATTTCCTTTTTTTGGTTTTTTTTTTGTTTTTCCCAATTGAATTTCCAAAAAACGAAAAGCCCTCCGCCTACGGGCGCGCCCGGCTGGGAGCTCGGAGCGCTCCCGGCACCCGCGGCTCCTGCTCGCCCGCCGATCCCGCCCGGCCCATCCCGGGGGCTCCCGGTACCGGGGCTCGGGGGGAACCCCGGAGGGTCCGGCCGGGCCCCCCGGCTCCCGGGAAGCTGCTGGCTGCCTCCCGCCGCAGCATCGTAAGCGGGACCGCAAAGAAGAGGCAGGAATCAACAGCGGCTCGTGCTGTTTCTTTTTTTTCTTTTTTATTTAAATTCTCAAAGACAGAGCAATTTCATTTTTTTTTTGTTTTGTTTTCATTTTAACAAAAAAAATAGAATTTGAATTCGGAGGACATTTCCCCGTTAGCATAAAACCACTTAAAAGGTGGTTGTATTTCAATGGTAAATTACTTGACAGTGTCCCTTTAACTTAAAAATAAAATAATGTCAGTATTGCAATGAATTTCAAGTTTTCTTGCACGTAGTCATTATAAAGTAGCTTTTATCATGCTCTTGGACCTATTCTACAAGACATTTAAAAGCATATCATCAAGGAAAATATAAGGCATACTTCTCAGGAATTAGGTATCTTGGCACATTTGAGCATACTGTCTTTTTTTAAAACAACACATATGGTCAAATATACCTTTCTTCTTCTAACATTAAACAGGGTTTTCTGTACTTTGTTTTAAATACTGAGATATTAGAGCCTTGGTAAAGTACCGAGCACCTCCGGGAAAACAAAAATTAAAACAAAAAAAGCGAAAAAATAAATCCAATGAAAACTAAAACAACGAGGAGCAAAATCCCACAAATCTTTACAGTCATTTTAGTCTTTCGTTATCATCATTCATCAAGTCCTTGAACATACAGAACGTGCGTTAAAAGAAGAAAAAACCAAAACGAAACAAAAAAACCAAAGAAACACGCAGAAGAAACCCAAAACGAGACAAAAACTGACCACAAGTTCTCGGCCACTGTTCACAGAACTGCCCGCGGGCCGTTCCAGGCTGTACTGGTTTGACTGGACCCGCGCGGCCCGTGCGCTCCTCCGGTCAGCCGGATCCTGGGCAGGATCCGGGCGGCGCGGGCGAGGAAGACCACGGGAGGAGCCTGCCTCGTTAGCGATGCTCCCAGGAGCCGGCAGGGACGGAAGGACACTCTGCCGTGCTCTCCTCGCCTCCCGCTACTTATTGCAGGGAACGCACCGCGGCGGCGTTGGAACTACGGGCGCCGGAGCGCGTCCGTCGGCAGCGCGACAACTTTGGGGAGGGCAGCGAACAGCAGGACCGAGACAATCAATCAAGTAGCAAAAAAAACAACCAAAGCAATTAAATTCCTAACTACGTCTAGCAGCATGGAGAGTGCAGTCCCGACACATCACAGTTGAAGTACAATAATCGCTGGAACTGCCCATCCAGAGCCTCCGATTCAGAAGCAGGTTATCAGACACATGTTTACATGCAATTGAGAACCATTTCAAATGTCACATTACGCACTCTGAAAAGCTTATTTCACTACTGGGAAATAGGAAAAGTGCACATTAAAGCAATTTTAAACATTTCCAGTGATTGTTTAAAAAGAAACAGAAACACCTCGCTACCAGCGGCTCGTGTTTAACTTTCTGTGAACACTAACAGCAAACTTCTTTCAAGGGCAATAATGCATGGTACAATGGAAACAGCTTGTTTTGACACTTACAGTACATCTCAAAAAAAACCCAAAAAAACAAACCAACAAAATAAAAACCCCAAGAAGAAAAAGGGAATTATAATTTCAACTGGGAATAAAATGACAGCAGGAAATCAAATTCTTTAAAACAAGCTTTTTTTTTGTTTTCTCCCCACCCTTCAGAAACTCCATCCTTGCCCCTCGGTAAAGAAGCGCTGGCAGCTCCTGCTCGCACAGGAGCAGCTCAGGTCTACCTGACCCCTAACTCAGCCAAGACCATTCAGCAAAATGATTGCATTCCCAAAAAACTTCTGAGTGGAACAAGATTCTAGTTTCTCTGAAATGCTCTCTACTGAATTCCAGCCAAGAAAAGAAAAGAAAAGAAAAAACAAAAAATAAAGTTTTGTTTTCACTGTTTAAGGCATCTTTTTTTTATAACATTTTCTCTTCACTCGCAATGATGATAGTCATGCAGCAGTTTAATGATAAAAATATATTAATATTTTACTATACAGCAGCAAGAAGTTAGTCAATTAAAAGCACACCAACTTTTTTTTTTGAAGAAAAAAAAAAACATAACTGAAAAACAACGAAGACAACCTGTAAAAGTCTATTATTATTCTTCTTATTATTACAAACGATTTCAATTTGGAGAACACACCTGGACAGATTAGTGTTCTGACAAATCTGTGTTTCCCTAGCCTAGGCTTCGAGCAGAGCCCGCGCCCGGCGGGAGCTGGGACGGGGAGGGCAGGGCATGGCCAGGCTGGCCAGGTATGTAGCCAGTAATAATAACTAGCACCACAGCTACATGGAAATCCATGACGGACACACACCGGCTTGGCTTTCACTGTCCAACCAAACTCCGACCCCCATGGCTCAGTGGGATCACGCTGCCCTCGCTGCACTGCTTCCTAACAGGCCTACGGAAGTGAACAGGGATCAAAGCATCGGTCCGGACCTCACACGAGTTCAGGAGATAGTGCTAGTGCCAGTGGCCACACGGAAAGACTCGCTACCTGCTGTCCAAAAACAGGTGGACTGGAAACCGCTGCACGTCAGGTTAAGTACTTTAAGTACACAGAATAAAAAAAATATATTATGAACAATACAAGTACATCTCATATACACAATAATGACAATACGCCTACTCAGTTGTAAACCAAACAGGTGCAGAAAAAAAAATATTATGGGAGGAAATTCTTTACTTTTCAGGTTTTTTTTCTCTCTCTCTCTCTTTTTTTTTTTCTTTTCCTCTTTTCTTTTTTTTTTTTTTTTTTACTATTTGAATAACTTTGGTTCAAACGTAAAAATCACAAGTTAGCAAATTTCATTTAAATGCCTTTTTTAATAATTTTTCTTCATGTTCACAGAAGTTTCACTGACCATTTTTATATGTTTAAGGTCCAGATGCAATGCATATTGTATAAAAGAGAGCACTTATTGTTTACCTTGCATGAATTAAACCTACGTACCTTTTAACTCTACAAACTTCTGCATAACATTTAGACAAAGCTCAGACACACAGCATGCCTAGCCCTCATATATATATACACATCTCTAATCACAGGTATATAGGGTGTCAAATATACTATAGTAACCTCCATGTAAGGTTCGAAATTTGGTAACAAAATGAGAAGAAAAAACTAAAAATATTATTTTACGTGTTCTAAAATATCTCTTTTTTTTTGTGCTAAAGTCAAATGTTAGCTCAACATGAAAAGGACTTTTTTTTATATAATTCAGCAATATTATAATCTTGACCATTTTTGCAAACACTTTTAATAATAATAGCTTAAACGTGTACAAAAGTTCTCGGTTAATTAGGGAAATAAACACTCAGTTCTTTATATTTTTAATCAAGTAGGAAACACAGTTCATATATAATGTTATTACTTTTTTTGACTCTTTTTTTTTTGTGTGTTTTGTTTTTTTTGTTTTTTTTTTTTTGGTTTTTTTTTTTGTTTTGTTTTGTTTTGTTTTTTTTTTAGCAGCTGCTTACTGTTTGATACGGTGGGTAAAGTGGAGGAACATCCAGCGATGGGTGGCGGGTCTGAGGCGCTGCTGCTGCCGGGCGGCGGGGGGGGCGCCGGGCGGGCGGCGCGGCCGGGGGGGCTCCGGGCGGAGGGGGGGCTCCGGGCCGCCGCCCCCGCGCCCCGCCGCCCGCCCGCCCTCCCGCCGGCGGCGGGGCCAGTCCGCGTCCCGGGGGGCGGGCGGTCAGTCCTCCTCGGGCTCCTCGGCCTGCAGCAGCGCGCCGGGCGGCCCGGCGGCGGCCGCCTCGGCCTCGGGGGGCGGCTCGGCGCCCACGGCGGGGGCGGCGGCGGCGGCGGCGCGCTTGTCCCGCTGCTTCTCCTGGATCTTCTTCATCTCGTCCGAGTACTTGCAGAAGGTGTGGCCGAACTTGGCCCAGACCTTGTAGGGGACGGTGATGGAGTTGCGGTAGGTGGGCTTCACCTCGCTCACCCGCATGAACACGCCGTACTTGTTGGAACCCACGTCGAAGAAGAAACGCTTGTTGTCCACAGTCAAGGAGGTGCCCTCGGGCAGCTCGGCCGGCTCCTCCTCCACGCCGTAGTCGTCGATGAGCTTGGCCAGGGCGTCGCGGAACTCGATGAGGCCCTGTGCGGGCAGCGCGATGGTCTGGCCCTGCGTGGAGCCCAGCCCCGGGCCGCGGTTCACGGTCTGGCGGACGCGCAGGAAGCGCCCGCGCTGGTTCTCCTTCAGATCCATGTAGTACTTGCGGTTCTCCCGCACCAGGAACTCGCTCTTCAGCGCCCGCCGGGGCTCGTCGGCCGCCTGCGCCAGCTCGGGGGGCTGGCTGGGCCCCAGCTGCGCGTAGTGCTCGATGAAGTCGCCCAGGTAGTCGCGGAACTCGACGGCCACCGACATGGAGAGGGTCAGGCGGCTCTTGTTGCCGCCCGCGCCCACCTCGGCGATCTTGAGGAAGCGGCCCTTGGCGTTCTGCTTCACGTCCAGGTAGAAGCGCTTGTTCTGGATGTCCACCCGCTTGGAGGCCAGCTCCTGCGTCTCGTGCTGCAGCCCGCCGCCCGGGCCCCCGCCGCCGCCGCCGCCGCCGCCCGGGCCGCCGCCGCCCGCGCCCGGCCCCCCGGCGCCCGCCGCGCCCCCGCCGCCGCCGCCCTGCTCGCTGCCGCTGTCTCTGTCCGCCATGATGCCGCCGCCGCTCCGCCGCCGCCGCCGCTCGGGCCTCGCCCGCCGCTGCTCGCCCCGGCGCGGCCGCCCCCGCGCCGCCGCCGCCTCCTCCGCCGCCGCCGCCTCCTCGGCCGCCCCCGGCCGCCGCCGCCGCCGCCGCCGCCTCCTCCTCCTCCCGCCGCCGCCGCCGCCGCCGCTGCTGCAACAGCCCCCGCGGCCACCAGCCGGCCGCGCTCTCGCGAGATCTGCCGGAGCGAGGAGAGGGCGCGGGAAGGCGGCAGAGAGCGGCCCCCGCCGCCGGCCGCCCCGGCGAGCACGGCGGCAGTGCCGCGCCGCCGAGCGGCCGCCGCGGGTACTGCAGCTGCGCGCTCCCCCCGCGCACCGGCGGCGCCGCGGCCGAGCCCCGCTCCGGGCGGCACCGGCACCGCCCGGCACCGCCGCTGGCCCCGCCGCTGGGCCCGCCGCACCCGCGCTCCCGCACCCTGGGGGCAGCCCGCGGGGCCCGGGAGAGCCGCCGGGTTCGTGCTCCCCGCAGCGAACCGTACGGGAGAGCGCTGAGCAGCGGGCCCTCCTCCCGGCTGGGATGCCCGGGATGGCCGGGTGGGATGTGTGTTTATTCGGGGCTGATGATGAAGTGAATTAATTGGCCTATGGTGTGGCGCGGGGCTTGGAGGCTCGGGAGCGCCGCGGGGATGCGGACCGGGGGGATCGGGCGTCCCCCCGCAGCGGGGGCTTGGAGGTGGGGCTTGGAGGTGGGATTTTGGAGGTTTGGAGGTGGGATTTTGGAGGTTTGGAGGTGGGATTTTGGAGGTTTGGAGGTGGGATTTTGAGGTCTGGGGGTGGGTTTTGGAGGAGATGCTTTAGCTTCTAGTCCTTGTTTCCAAACCCTCAATTTTAAGCCAACTCCAGCCCAAGTAAGGATGTTTTCTCCTGATGCTGCTGGCCAGGAAGCAAACTGATAGGATTGCTCTGGGTAGAAATCTGTTCCCTGCTTGATGCTTCTGGGGAAGGCATGGATGTACCTCTAGCATCCCAAAAACCCCTGCAAGTGTTGCACAAAGAGTGGTGCTATGAGGTGAATTTTGGGGTGGCCTGTGGAATGCGCTTGGCACGCAAAGAACTTTCTGAGGAGACAGGGAGTGAACTGCTGAGACATCTTGTTGCGTTAGAGGATGCTCAGATATCCCAGGAGGAACCCCCAGCCTGCCCCATGGCTGTGGTTAAAGCCGTGGTGATGGTGACTCCATGGGTAATAAAAAAAATACACAGAGAAACAGTTTCCTTTTGCCACAGAAACAATATTTCAGCGCTGGCTGAGCCGCCGCTTGCCAGCTGTCAGAAAGCCCTGAGTGCTGGGGGTGTGCTGTGCTCTCCGTGGATGCTGGGTTTGATTTTCAGCCTGCCTGAACTGTCCTGGGTGTTTCCTGGGTGTCCAGGTTGGCATCCCCACGCTGCCCCCATGGTGCTTTGGCAGCCTCTCTCTCTTGATTTGCTCTTTTTATCTTCAAGTCAAATGACATCAAACAACCTAACCCGCGGCCTGTTGCTGTCACCAGCAGGTGTCCTTGTGGATGAACCACACTTTATCCATGTGGTACAAGTGGGAAGTGCATGAGGAGTTGTGTTTGTGCCCTTGTGGCTGGTCTGCCTTTGACTGGGCTGCAGTGAAAATCGCTGGTGCTGAGGATGCTGGCCAGCACAGAGGTTATTTTTTCTCCCCAGCACAGGCAAGAGGTTATTTTTCAGGAGTGGATGCACTCCAAGTGGATACCAACAATCCTGGGAACAACCTGCCAGAGTTGGTGCTTTGGGGGATGATGTTTTGTGGGATTCTGCTTGCCCAGCACCTTTCAGCATTGGAAGTCACAGCCACTACCTAATGCTCTGATTTTGTGCCTGAATTTGGCTTGGATAAGGCATTTGCTTATTGAAGTAAACAAAACAAAGGGAAAAAAAGTGTTTTTCTTCCCAAAAGAAAATCTTTTCAATGGGAGCTCTACCACAGCAGCCCACCCTGGGGACCCACAGGAACTTAAATTGATCTGCCCAATGCTAAAACAAGATCATGTGGCTAAGACAAGCTTGGGATGGCTGCTGAATGAGGCAAGGTGCAAAATAGGATGGACCAGGGTGATGGATAAGTGCAGGAGCCAGGGGAGTCTCTCTGGACGTTGTCCAGGTTTGGACTGGGATCTTGCAGGGAGCTCCTGGTCCCAGGCTGCCTGTCCTGGCTGCTATCAGTGGCTCCCATATCATTATCAGGCTGCACACTCTGCTGCCTCCGTGGCTTCTGCTGAAACCCATCCCAGACCTCTTTGCTCTGAAAATCAGAAATCTTTTCATCTCCAGCCCCACAACTCTCAGTTTGGAGATTTCACAAGATTTTCTAACAGCTTCTCTCCTTCCATGTGTCTCTCAGTAGCAATTATACCCCCTTCAGCCCTGTTCTGATAGCCTAAATGAGACCAAATTCAGGTAGCTTCCTCTCATAAGATAATCCTCCTTTCTTTGACTATTGTAGTCATTTTCCACACCAGTTTCAGTTCCTTGGAAAGATAATGGAAAAGATTTTCAGAGTTCTGGCTGGGATTTCAGGCTTAACATCAATGGGCCTTTTGTTTTGAAATCCAATTCAGTGGGCTTTTAAGAACATATCTGATCATTACTGTGAGCATCTCAAAGTTTGTAGCCCCAGCCTGTAATCCAGCTATGAAACAACAACTCCGCTGACTCCAAGAACTTGTACAAACATTTATAATCAACAGGAGGCAAGCTAAGAGCCATTCAAACAAGAGATAAGATTAGTAGCTGAAGTGGCTGGGCTGCAATTGTTATTGTGCAAGTCAAAGAAAAGGCTGTCACACTCAGAGGATATTGCCAAGCAAGATTCATTTGAGTCGCCGAGTCATTCTTCTCTCACCCGCTGTCTGAATTCTCCTGCAGATCTGCTCAGGCTCTTGGGTGATCTGCTGGGTTAGGAGGTGACTGAGTTTAGACTTTTTTCCAAGTTGTGTCAGATATTTCCCTTGGTCCCATTCTTGTCCAGCACTCCCAGCATGGAAAAGGGGAAAAGGGAAATCAGAGAACTTCCTGTGCCGTGATGGGAGTTGGAGCACTGAAGCACCAAAGCCAAGCTGCTGTTGCCATCTCTCAGATGCAGAGCACTCAGAAAGGCTTTTACAGCCACGGGGGGATGTCTGGGGCTGGGTGAAGGCTCAGAGCAGCCCCTGAACAGGAACCTGTAACAGGATGGTGAAAGCTCCCTTTGCTTTCCATCTGGGTCCTCCTTGGAGCGTGCCTTTGGAGAGAGGAGTTCAGCATTGCTTGTCCAGTGCTGTGGGGCATTGCTCACCCTGTGAACAAGCCCCATCGTGTGCAGCAAACAAGAAACCAGCACACAACATATGAAAGTCATTTAGGAAGATGGGAACGATGAGCGGCGCACACAATAGTGTTGCTATTAGGATCTGTCGATCCTAATTAAAAAAATACTTCTCAATGAAAATTATTTATAAAAAGAAATCACAGTGACCCTAAATCAAATTATTTGTGAATGGTTTTCAGTCTCCCAGATCAGTTAAAACTCCTGTGTTAGTCACTGGACGTCATCCAAGCTACATGCTGAATGAATAACATCCCTGCCAAATTTCATTTTTTTTTCACCCTCACCCAGTTTGGCACAGGACAGTTAAAGTCATTTTTCTAAATATCTTTCAGAACATCAAGTGACTGTAAAATAACAATGGGAAAGCTTGGCCACGGACAACTGCAGCCCTCCAGTTGGAACCGCTTCTCTCCGAGAGAGCAGCTCCACTCCCTTTGATGATCTGTTCTGGGGCAGCACCCAGGCAAGGATTCCTCCACGGGGGAACTGGAGGGTCACTGGATAACCCTGCCAGGGAGCCTGGCTTCCAGCTGTTCCAGAGTGGGGCAGGGCTGCATCCAGACTGGCCCTGGCTACAGGGTTGGTGTCCTTTTGGCCACCTGCTGGAGGGTGACATCCCGAGGACATGTCAGCCATTCCCTGTCCACAGCGGCAGTTTCCATGGTGAGCGGTAACGCCGCCGCTTTTGCTCACTCTTCAGAAACTAAAAACAAACAAAAAACAAAGAAAGAAAGAAGGAATCAGTGACTGCACAATGGCAGAACAAGTTCTTGCTTCTTGTGTCTGCAAAGATAAAGGGCTAATTCTTCTAAGCACTATGTGATGTCCTATCCAAGTGAATTAAGTTTGGGATTGTTTTCACCATGGCTTGTTCCACCCGCAGTGTGCTTTCTCTTCTCCTTTGACTGGCCTGCAAGTCCCCCACTGGTCTTTTCTCAGCTGGCTTCCCCCTCATTTGCTCTTTCTGACCATGGAGGTGTTGTCACCTGCAGAGAGCGAGGACCCTCCCCTGTTCTTTGTTCTCAGAGACATTAAGAGGGAAGCATGGTTCTCCAGCTCCCCACATAATCCAGGAAGTGCTGGCTGCTCTTCTGTTGAAAGCTAGCAACAAATGGCCACCAAATTCCAATCTTGCTGGTTTTCAGTGAGAATAATTCATAAACCCAGTGCTCTCTGCTCCTTGTCTCCTAAGAGGAGCAAGGACTAGAGCCCAGCATCATGTGCAGCACTTAGCAAAGGCTGTGTCACCCATGTATGTGACTGTTTCCCAGTATCCAGGTGGCTTCTTTGCCTCCAGTTGAACTGGTGTGATGCCTGGGTGGGCTTTTCCCTTCCCTTCCCTCTTCCCATGCCCATGGCATTGGCTGGGAAGGTGCTCTGTCCACAGGGATGCCCAGGTTGGTGGGCATAGCTGGCTCACAGGCACAGCTGCTCTGGCTCCTGTGACCAGCTGGGTCATCCTTTCATTAAGATGACAGCACCTCCTGTTTTTGCTGTTTGATTCCTCTTGTTTTCATGCTGCCTTGCTGCTGTCTCCAGAGCTGTGCCCAGATGGTCCTGTTGTTCCTCCAGCCATTACTGCTGGTTCTGGACTTGCACAGCCATGCAGCAAAGCACCTGACACCCTCTCTGC